CCTGTACCTCTGGCTGCCATAAGATGGAGACTCCACTCCATTCTAGCGGATTGACCACACACAGCCAGATATGAATCTTACATGCAATCTGGTGCACTCCAAGGGATGGACGGCACACACAGTTCTAGGATTCCTCAAGCTATCCTACATGCTAGAATCCTTAAAGCCCTGTTTAACGTTATAAAACATGTTCATGGAGACAACCTCTTAGTCTCCTTGTTGTTCTGCCACCATATTGTTTGTTGCATGGGCATGTGAGCATGTAAATCACGTACTTGCTGTTGCAGGAGATAAAGTTTTTTATCATGTAGGATTTACCCGTAGTGTTTGAGGTGAAGGATTCTATTTTCTTTTTCCTACCTGTGTTACATGTACAGATCATACACCTATTGCATGGATAAAAGCCACTCAAATTAGGGAATAATGACACCGTTTTAGGTGGATCTACGATATTAGGCGCCAGGCGATGTCTTATGGTCGTCGCCTTCCGGAATATGATTTCTGTTTTTTCAGGTAGGATGTTAGTAAGTATTGGGTCTGTTTTTAAGAATATCCCAATTTTTCTTGATAATGCCACTTATAGTTCTGTGTTGTATGGAGTATGTGGTGATAAATGGGCAGACTTGGGATGATGTTTTTTTCCCATTATCTATTAGCATTACATCTCTATCCTGACTCGCCACATCATTCAAAGTATTATCCAGGATTGCCTCACTATATCCTTTTTCCATAAATCTTTTTTTTCAGAATCTTAGCCTGTAGATAGTAGTCATTGTACATGGGTCTTTTTATATGAACAGTTTTTACATTATTCCATTATTTATCGATTTACCTAAATTACCCTTATAATGGAGATTTATCTTATTTGCAAAGCCTAACTTGGAGTTATTATGAATTATCATTTGAATATATAATTGCATTCATACTTAGTGCGTATTTGGCAGTTGAGAGGTGTTTAATTATCTGACTTATAGCTGGTCCCTGAATATGTAGATCGAGTCTCTCCACAGCTGGGCACATTTACCCAGCCTGTATGCTAAGATCCATGGCAAAATGGTGCTGATGCGCACGCGCATGCGCAATAATAAACCTACAAGAAAATGTCGGCGGCGCGAAAATAGAAGCGCCCAGCCCTATTTAAATACAGGCAATGTACACACAGCAGTGTTGACATTCCTCTGAAGACGTGCAGTTGCACGAAAGGCCTAAGGAGTCAACACGCTGTGTTTTTTAACCACCGGAGCCTTATATAGGTCCGGTGGTCGTCTATATTCCTGGTCAGTGAACCTTTTTATCACTTTATTATCTTTTATTGTGAAACTTGCTATATGAATAAATTCAATTTCCTAGCAATATCACGATATGAGCACTTTTTTTATGACTCTGGTACGGAAACTTTTTAATTATGCAGAACCTGGAAAGCTCTTCAATACCCAGAGAGGGGGAATTCCTGTAATCAGGTGGCTGACCCTGCTGATCCCTAAGGAGACCTCTGGAGCAGACATCACCCACTCACTGCGGAGCTGCCCAATTGGAGACAGATGTCCCAGACGCATACCCCACTACCTTGATTTATCAATGCGCAATATCTATGCGCTTCTGGTAAGCGCATAATTTTATTCCTTGCACGGAGCACCATATAGGAAGGATACGCTTACCGGCACGATTCACAATATATACTGAATGTTATTGGGACTTTACTTTTATCTATTTATTTAGCGCTGCACTTTATTACTATTTATGTTATACTGAAGGTTTTATGTGGTTGCCTGAGTGTATCAGCTGCTATTGGAGAGCGCTCACTATTTCTACACTTTACTTCCTAACATGGACACAAGTGTTCTGCAGCTCAGTTAGACAGACTCTGTTGAAGAAAAGCTTTGTTGGACTTGTAGGCTGATAGGAGGACTTCCCTATTCAATAACAAAGTACATTTATTATTATTACTACAGATACTTATATAGAGCCATCAATGTACGCAGCACTTTACATATATACATTGTACATTCCCATCAGTCCCTAACCCTCAAGGGGTGTACAATCTAAGGTCCCTAACTCACATTCATACATACACATACTAGGGACAATATAGACAGAATTCAATTAATCTACCAACATGTCTTTGGAGTGTGGGAGGAAATTGGAGTACCTGGAGGAAACCCACACAGGCACAGGGAGAACATGCAAACTCCAAGCAGGTGGCACCATTGTTGGGATTCAAACCAATGACCCTAGTACAGGGGTCCTCAAACTATGGCCCGCGGGCCACATGCGGCCCGCCGAGGACATTTATCCGGCCCGCCGGGCAGGGGGGTATCTGCCGCGAGGCAAGGGACCAGGGGCGTATCCCCCCCCCCACTTTTCCCACAGAAGGGACACTTCCGTGGGAAAGATACAGGGGCAGGGCCGCCATGGCTGAGGGATCAGCTTGCAGAGGAGAGCAGAGTGGTGGGCGGATCCCCGGAGTGCGCTCGGAGCACGTGAGGGGTGGGGTCCGCTGTCAGTGGGCCTGGTATCCAGGTGAAGGCCAGAAAGAGGAGGCAGAAGAGGATGAGGTTAGGGGGGCGGAGCCGGCCCGCTCCTTTGCAGCCATCACCGCCGGAGATCGAGGGGGAGAAGGGACACAGGCACCCGTCCTAGAATGATCCTGACACCATCTGGAGGAGCTGCTGCTGGACAGGTAAGTGCTTGGAGGACTGGTGCTCCCTCAGTCCTGTCTCACTGTCCCCTGATACACTGCCCCCCACCTGTTCTACTTCCCTCCCCCATCCCATTGCCCCCCCATCCATCACACTGCCCCCACATGTCACTCTGCCCCACACCTGTTCCACTTCCCCCTCCTGTCCCCCACATTGTCCCACTACCACCCATCTGTCCCCACTGCCCCTCACCTGTCCCTCTGCGCTCCTCCTGTCCCTCTGCCCCCCACCTGTCCCTCTGTGCTCCTCCTGTCCATCTGCCCCTCACCTGTCCCTCTGTGCTCCTCCTGTCCATCTGCCCCTCACCTGTCACTCTGCGCTCCTCCTGTCCAGCTGCCCTGATATTGACACCAATGATGGGGCACTATTCCTCCCACTGACACCAAAGATGGGGCACTATTCCTCCCACTGACACCAAAGATGGGGCACTATTCCTCCCACTGACACCAATGGGGCACTATTCCTCCCACTGACACCAATGATGGGGCACTATTCCTCCCACTGACACCAAAGATGGGGCACTATTCCTCCCACTGATACCAATGATGGGGCACTATTCCTCCCACTGATACCAATGATGGGGCACTATTCCTCCCACTGACACCAATGATGGGGCACTATTCCTCCTACCGACACCAATGATGGGGCACTATTCCTCCCACTGACACCAATGATGGGGCACTATTCCTCCCACTGACACCAATAACAGGGCACTTTTCCTCCCCCTGACACCAATGACGGGGCACTATTCCTCCCCTGACACCAATGACGGGGCACTATTCCTCCCCCTGACACCAATGACGGGGCACGATTCCTCCCCCTGACACCAATGACGGGGCACGATTCCTCCCCCCTGACACACAATGACGGGGCACGATTCCTCCCCCTGACACCAATGATGGGGCACGATTCCTCCCACTGACACCAATGATGGGGCGCTATTCCTCCCACTGACACCAATGATGGGGCGTTATTCCTCCCACTGACACCAATGATGGGGCGCTATTCCTCCCACTGACACCAATGATGGGGCGTTATTCCTCCCACTGACACCATTGATGGGGCGCTATTCCTCCCACTAACACCAATGATGGGGCGCTATTCCTCCCACTGATACTAATGATGGTGGCACCATCTCCTGTACTGTGTCCGCAGTCTCTGGTCATCTCCTGTACTGTGTCCGCAGTCTGTGGTCATCTCCTGTACTGTGTCCGCAGTCTCTGGTCATCTCCTGTACTATGTCCGCAGTCTCTGGTCATCTCCTGTACTGTGTCTGCAGTCTCTGGTCATCTCCTGTACTGTGTCCGCAGTCTCTGGTCATTTTCCTGTACTGTGTCCGCAGTCTGTGGTCATCTCCTGTACTGTGTCCGCAGTCTCTGGTCATCTCCTGTACTATGTCCGCAGTCTCTGGTCCTCTCCTGTACTATGTCCGCAGTCTCTGGTCATCTCCTGTACTATGTCCGCAGTCTCTGGTCATCTCCTGTACTGTGTCCGCAGTCTCTGGTCATCTCCTGTACTATGTCCGCAGTCTCTGGTCATCTCCTGTACTATGTCCGCAGTCTCCGGTCATCTCCTGTACTATGTCCGCAGTCTCTGGTCATCTCCTGTACTGTGTCCGCAGTCTCTGGTCATCTCTCTGTACTATGTCCGCAGTCTCCGGTCATCTCCTGTACTGTGTCCGCAGTCTCTGGTCATCTCCTGTACTATGTCCGCAGTCTCTGGGTCATCTCCTGTACTATGTCCGCAGTCGCTGGTCATCTCCTGTACTGTGTCCGCAGTCTCTGGTCATCTACTGTACTGTGTCCGCAGTCTCTGGTCATTTCCTGTACTATGCAGTCTATTGGTTCAGAATATTTTTTTTGTTGTTTTCCTCTTCTAAAACCTAGGTGCGTCTTTATGGAAATGAAAACTATGGTAGGAATTTATATTCATAAGAAATGATAGACGGCTCAGGTCCCGTGTGTCAAATGAAAGTGAAAGAAAACTTCTGGAAACTGATAAAAACATATGTCTCTTCACTTGGCTTTAGGTCTTGTTTGTCCTGGGGCTGGAATATGACATTTGGATTGGATATTTTGGTCATGTCACATACTGTTGGCGTAGTCTGGTTTTAAACTCACTTATTATAACAAGTTATTTGTAATATCTTCTTGGATAAGAGAAACCACAGAACTCGCTGCGGACTGTATTGGAGTGTAATGGAGTGTGAGGAGAGATTTCAAAGTGGCACATGGCATCACACTGTGGGACCAGCAGCAGCGTGACCAGGCGGTACGGGGGCCCATGGCCGATATGGGGCCTGGCGGCACCTATGGAAGGCCGCTAATCTGCCAGCAACCTATGACAAAATGGAAAACCGCAGGAGTGTGAGGAGACCTCAAAGTGGCACATGGCAGAGTGGAGCAATGGGAGGCGGTACAGGGACCCAGGTCACACTGTGGGCTCAGCAGCAGCGTGACCAGGCGGTACGGGGGCCCATGGCCGATATGGGGCCTGGCGGCACCTATGGACCTAGGAGGCCTGTAATCTGCCAGCAACCTATGACAAAATGGAAAACCGCAGGAGTGTGAGGAGACCTCAAAGTGGCACATGGCAGAGTGGGGAAGCAATTACAGGACCCAGGTCACACTGTGGGACCAGCAGCAGCGTGACCAGGCGGTACGGGGGCCCATGGCCGATTTGGGCCTGGCGGCACCTATGGAAGGCCTGTAATCTGCCAGCAACCTATGACAAAATGGACAAACCGCAGGAGTGTGAGGAGATTTCAAAGTGGCACATGGCAGAGTGGAAGCAATGGGAGGCCGTACAGGGACCCAGGTCACACTGTGGGCTCAGCAGCAGCGTGACCAGGCGGTACGGGGGCCCATGGCCGATATGGGGCCTGGCGGCACCTATGGAAGGCCTGTAATCTGCCAGCAACCTATGACAAAATGGAAAACCGCAGGAGTGTGAGGAGGAGACCTCAAAGTGGCACATGGCAGAGTGGAAGCAATGGGAGGCCGTACAGGGACCCAGGTCACACTGTGGGACCAGCAGCAGCGTGACCAGGCGGTACGGGGGCCCATGGCCGATTTGGGGCCTGGCGGCACCCTATGAAGGGCCTAATCTGCCAGCAACCTATGACAAAATGGAAAACCGCAGGAGTGTGAGGAGACCTCAAAGTGGCACATGGCAGAGTGGAAGCAATGGGAGGCCGTACAGGGACCCAGGTCACACTGTGGGCCAGCAGCAGCGTGACCAGGCGGTACGGGGGGGGCCCATGGCCGATATGGGGCCTGGCGGCACCTATGGAAGGCCTGTAATCTGCCAGCAACCTATGACAAAATGGAAAACCCGCAGGAGTGTGAGGAGACCTCAAAGTGGCACATGGCAGAGTGGAAGCAATGGGAGGCCGTACAGGGACCCAGGTCACACTGTGGGACCAGCAGCAGCGTGACCAGGCGGTACGGGGGGGGCCCATGGCCGATTTGGGGCCTGGCGGCACCTATGGAAGGGCCTGTAATCTGCCAGCAACCTATGACAAAATGGAAAACCGCAGGAGTGTGAGGAGACCTCAAAGTGGCACATGGCAGAGTGGAAGCAATGGGAGGCCGTACAGGGACCCAGGTCACACTGTGTGGGAGCAGCAGCGTGACCAGGCGGTACGGGGGCCCATGGCCGATATGGGGCCTGGCGGCACCTATGGAAGGCCTGTAATCTGCCAGCAACCTATGACAAAATGGACAACCGCAGGAGTGTGAGGAGATTTCAAAGTGGCACATGGCAGAGTGGAAGCAATGGGAGGCCGTACAGGGACCCAGGTCACACTGTGGGCCCAGCAGCAGCGTGACCAGGCGGTACGGGGGCCCATGGCCGATATGGGGCCTGGCGGCACCTATGGGAAGGCCTGTAATCTGCCAGCAACCTATGACAAAATGGAAAACCGCAGGAGTGTGAGGAGACCTCAAAGTGGCACATGGCAGAGTGGAAGCAATGGGAGGCCGTACAGGGACCCAGGTCACACTGTGGGGGACCAGCAGCAGCGTGACCAGGCGGTAGGTACGGGGGCCCATGGCCGATTTGGGGCCTGGCGGCACCTATGGAAGGCCTGTAATCTGCCAGCAACCTATGACAAAATGGACAACCGCAGGAGTGTGAGGAGATTTCAAAGTGGCACATGGCAGAGTGGAAGCAATGGGAGGCCGTACAGGGACCCAGGTCACACTGTGGGGCCAGCAGCAGCGTGACCAGGCGGTACGGGGGCCCATGGCCGATATGGGGCCTGGCGGCACCTATGGAAGGCCTGTAATCTGCCAGCAACCTATGACAAAAATGGACACACCCGCAGGAGTGTGAGGAGATTTCAAAGTGGCACATGGCAGAGTGGAAGCAATGGGAGGCCGTACAGGGACCCAGGTCACACTGTGGGACCAGCAGCAGCGTGACCAGGCGGTACGGGGGCCCATGGCCGATATGGGGCCTGGCGGCACCTATGGAAGGCCTGTAATCTGCCAGCAACCTATGACAAAATGGAAAACCGCAGGAGTGTGAGGAGACCTCAAAGTGGCACATGGCAGAGTGGAAGCAATGGGAGGCCGTACAGGGACCCAGGTCACACTGTGGGCCCAGCAGCAGCGTGACCAGGCGGTACGGGGGCCCATGGCCGATTTGGGGCCTGGCGGCACCTATGGAAGGCCTGTAATCTGCCAGCAACCTATGACAAAATGGAAAACGCAGGAGTGTGAGGAGACCTTCAAAGTGGCACATGGCAGAGTGGAAGCAATGGGAGGCCGTACAGGGACCCAGGTCACACTGTGGGACCAGCAGCAGCGTGACCAGGCGGTACGGGGGCCCATGGCCGATATTGGGGCCTGGCGGCACCTATGGAAGGCCTGTAATCTGCCAGCAACCTATGACACAAAATGGAAAACCGCAGGAGTGTGAGGAGACCTTTCAAAGTGGCACATGGCAGAGTGGAAGCAATGGGAGGCCGTACAGGGGACCCAGGTCACACTGTGGGCCCAGCAGCAGCGTGACCAGGGTACGGTACGGGGGCCCATGGCCGATATGGGGCCTGGCGGGCACCTATGGAAGGCCTGTAATCTGCTGCCAGCAACCTATGACAAAATGGACAAACCGCAGGAGTGTGTGAGGAGATTTCAAAGTGGCACATGGCAGAGTGGAAGCAATGGGAGGCCGTACAGGGACCCAGGTCACACTGTGGGGCTCAGCAGCAGCGTGACCAGGCGGTACGGGGGCCCATGGCCGATTTGGGGCCTGGCGGCACCTATGGAAGGCCTGTAATCTCTGCCAGCAACCTATGACAAAATGGACAAACCGCAGGAGTGTGAGGAGATTTCAAAGTGGCACATGGCAGAGTGGAAGCAATGGGAGGGCCGTACAGGGACCCAGGTCACACTGTGGGCCCAGCAGCAGCGTGACCAGGCGGTACGGGGGCCCATGGCCGATATGGGGCCTGGCGGCACCTATGGAAGGCCTGTAATCTGCCAGCAACCTATGACAAAATGGACAACCGCAGGAGTGTGAGGAGATTTCAAAGTGGCACATGGCAGAGTGGAAGCAATGGGAGGCCGTACAGGGACCCAGGTCACACTGTGGGCCAGCAGCAGCGTGACCAGGCGGTACGGGGGCCCATGGCCGATATGGGGCCTGGCGGCACCTATGGAAGGCCTGTAATCTGCCAGCAACCTATGACAAAATGGACAACCGCAGGAGTGTGAGGAGATTTCAAAGTGGCACATGGCAGAGTGGAAGCAATGGGAGGCCGTACAGGGACCCAGGTCACACTGTGGGGACCAGCAGCAGCGTGACCAGGCGGTACGGGGGCCCATGGCCGATATGGGGCCTGGCGGCACCTGGAAGGCCTGTAATCTGCCAGCAACCTATGACAAAATGGAAAACCGCAGGAGTGTGAGGAGATTTCAAAGTGGCACATGGCAGAGTGGAAGCAATGGGAGGCCGTACAGGGACCCAGGTCACACTGTGGGACTCAGCAGCAGCAGCGTGACCAGGCGGTACGGGGGGGGCATGGCCGATTTGGGGCCTGGCGGGGCACCTATGGAAGGCCTGTAATCTGCCAGCAACCTATGACAAAATGGACAACCGCAGGAGTGTGAGGAGACCTTTCAAAGTGGCACATGGCAGAGTGGAAGCAATGGGAGGCCGTACAGGGACCCAGGTCACACTGTGGGACCAGCAGCAGCGTGACCAGGCGGTACGGGGGCCCATGGCCGATATGGGGCCTGGCGGCACCTATGGAAGGCCTGTAATCTGCCAGCAACCTATGACAAAATGGAAACCGCAGGAGTGTGAGGAGACCTCAAAGTGGCACATGGCAGAGTGGAAGCAATGGGAGGCCGTACAGGGACCCAGGTCACACTGTGGGCTCAGCAGCAGCGGTGACCAGGCGGTACGGGGGCCCATGGCCGATTTGGGGCCTGGCGGCACCTATGGAAGGCCTGTAATCTGCCAGCAACCCTATGACAAAATGGACAACCCGCAGGAGTGTGAGGAGATTTCAAAGTGGCACATGGCAGAGTGGAAGCAATGGGGAGGCCGTACAGGGACCCAGGTCACACTGTGGGACCAGCAGCAGCGTGACCAGGCGGTACGGGGGCCCATGGCCGATTTGGGGCCTGGCGGCACCTATGGAAGTGTAATCTGCCAGCAACCTATGACAAAATGGACAACCGCAGGAGTGTGAGGAGATTTCAAAGTGGCACATGGCAGAGTGGAAGCAATGGGAGGCCGTACAGGGACCCAGGTCACACTGTGGGACCAGCAGCAGCGTGACCAGGCGGTACGGGGGCCCATGGCCGATATGGGCCTGGCGGCACCTATGGAAGGCCTGTAATCTGCCAGCAACCTATGACAAAATGGACAACCGCAGGAGTGTGAGGAGATTTC